AGCCTTCGAGGGCGTCGTCTGTCACTCGTACCGGTTGACCAGTTTTGATAACCGCTATGGCTTTCGAGTTCGGGCGGGGAACGTCTCCTGCAAGCGTTCTGTGGTCCGATGTTGAGTCAAGCTCTGTCGAGACATCTACAAGGGCACCAGCGTTAGACCAGACCAGGTCGAGTGTGTTTCCAAAGTCGTGTGTCGGGACGCCCGGTGTGGAATATAGGTCCATACCGTGCTCGAACATCCACTCGGTGAGCACCTGGCCGTCACCGTGTAGCCTAGTAGCCATTGGCTGCCAGTCGGTGTGAACAGCATTGAAGTCTCCGCCAATAACTTTAGGCCCAGATGGAGCCCATGATAGCAGCGGCAAAAGGTCTGCTCCAGGAGCGCGGTATACGGAGACAAATATGACTCCTTCTACCTTTACTGCAGTGAGATCTGGTGATGTCTCGCAGATTGCTTGCTGTTGGCAATGGATCCCTTTTCGCGTGTAGATGAGGGAGCGTGGCCTTGAAGAGTTAGCAGCGACACGGGGAGGCAAATGCCTATCGAATCCGGGATGCGACTTGGTGAGCCGGAAGACGTCCTTGTGTTTAGTCCAGGGTTCCTGGATGAGTAGGACATCGGTTCCTGAATCCCAAGCGGATTGCAGGATGATGTCCGTAGCCGGGTCTCCTCTACCCAGATTAGCGCAGAGGAACGAGATTGTTGTTGCCGTTTTTTGAAGCTCGGTTGAGTTGTGGTCCCTTACGGGCATTGAGCTACGTTTATATTTTCGTTTTCAGCAGTAGCCTCGGTGGCTTTCTGCTTTGCTTCCATCTCTCTGATCGAAGCATTCCTTTCTTTTTGACCCTGCTCGCGGATCGCCGACAGCTGGTCCCTTGTGCGTTGCACCGTCTTCCCACCAGCCCGTGTCGGCCTAGCCATACAGTTAGGCTCAGTTGCAGCATGTGGCCCGTGGCAATTGATGCACCTTGGAACGGCCTGTTTGCACTCAGTAGCTTTGTGCTCAATTGAGCCACAGCGGGTGCAGCGCTCTGCTCATGAACAAATTTTAGTTGGGTGGTGTCCCCAGCATCGGTTGCATTGCGCAATTTTGAGCTTGCGCTGGAGTTCGTGAAGGCGCCCGCTTTCTTCAAACAGTCTTTCTCCAAGTTTCGGTTTTCCTGTTGCGAAGTGCAACACCCAGTCCGTTGACGGCCTGGCCATGCTAGTAGCGAAAGCACGAGCTGAGGTTGGTCTAACTCCTGTTTTGAGAGCTGCTTCTTCTATTACCATCTCTGGTGTCACTATGGTGGGCCCTTCCAGAGTGTAAAGCTTATCTGGGATATTCGGTGCCAGGACTGATATCCAGTTGGAGGCGGCTTCCAATTTCATTTCAGAACTGTCTAAGATGGCTCCTCCTGAGAGAAGTGCACCTCTAGCTCCTTCCCCTTCGGCTTGTATTGCGAACCCTGAGTTCACGACAGTGACCTGTTTGATTGTCGAGTTGGCCAGACGCAGCTTGCTAGCTAGGCTAATCTTTACGAAGTAGGGTGACATACGTCTCCACGGGTGGTCAGGTTTGAGGCACAAAAATGCGCGCTCGTCAGGTCGCTGGGGGTTTGTTGCTGGAGCTTCAGGCTTCGGCGCGGAGACGGGCCTCACTGGCACTGTCTTGAGTGTTGAAGTTGGAGCCACTTGGTTTACTGGCTTGTTTCTTTTTCCCCACACCTCGGTCCAAGATTTCTCTGTAGCGTTGTTGTTGGTTTTGTTTGAGCCCTGGTTGGGCTGGAGAGTTGCGGTTGTGGCTACCGGCCTTTGTGGTGCCGGTCTATTCTTTTCTCTGGCAAGGATCAGCACTGGACGTGTGACGCTTGCAGGACTTTGTTTTGGAGGCTCTGTAACTTGAGCCGGGTTAGATGTGTTAGTATGGCCGCTTGCAGCCTTTGGGGGAGCGTTGGCGTCTGCTTGAGATGGGTTGCCCCATAAAATTTCCAGTATCTTGCCCTGAAGGGCCAGTAAGTCCTGATCAAAGAGTTTTCGGAGTCTCTCGTCAGTGAATGGTTCCAACAGCTTGCAGAACCCGATGATGAGACGCTCTGCTTGTGCAGAGCGCGTCTGTAATATCCTGCCCTGTTCGGCGAGGAATTCGGTCGCGACAATTTGAGGCGACGGAGTTTGTTGGTGGGGCGAGCTTCGATGACTCGCCTCGTAGATTGCCTCTACAAATTGTTGGGTGGGTGGTTGTTATGGCGGTTATGGCCCGTTAAGGACCATTTCGACGTCTTGACGCGTCGAACATTGAGTGGGGAGGGGGGGCCAGGGGCCAGCCTCTGCGGAGGACTGGGGCGGCATGGGTGATTGAGAGATGAATTTGTCAGTAAAATGTCGTAGGTAGAATGCGATAGTATCACTCGAATCAAGTGCTTTGTTGTGTATGATGTATATGGCGGGCAGCTGGTCGGACTCTTTTGTAATTTTTAGGTGTTGTAGTGCGCGCTAGAGCGTCGAGTAGTTCGGTAGGGACTGGGCCGTCCAGTACGTGACAATAGTCACGAGCTGTAGATAGGTACGACGTTAAATTCAATCAAAATCAAAATCAAATTTAGCTTTATTCCAGAACAGTTCAGCTGTAACTGGAATATTCTAGTAATTGGTAGCAAGACTGGGAACTACTATGACTGGAATATACGAGAAGCAGATATCAGTTAAGAACGAGTATTCTAGAGATCTTCATAAATGCATAAATAGTTGAAGTAATACTCTAATAGTTAGCCATAGAGAAAATTATAAACTACCTTCGTACATCTGATTGCCCCAGCATCGGCACTCGAACCGTGACAGTGCTTAGCTTCATGATAGTGGTGATAGGGGGATGTGTTGAGAGATTGTGACAGAAACCGAGTTTGTGATGAATAAATTAAATTATTAAAATATATGAGGAGAATAGAGGACTCTAGCAACTATTAACAGGTATATGTAACAGTTGGTCCCCTTCGTCAATCTCCAGACTGATGAATTATTCTTAGGTACAATACTTGCTACCCAGCCACGCATTGCCAGGTGTTACTTAGTTGTAGTAACGGTCCGACCTCTTGACTATATTTTTTTTTAAAATCATTTAATGTGTATGCAGTTATAGAGCTATGACACATGACCGGTGCTACGTATACATGTTGGATGACTCTTTTGACGTTAGAGACACTCTTACTCTGGATTTCATTTGCAAATACCGCTATGAGGTATGCTTGCTTACACAAACAGTCGACCCTCCTCCGTAAGTACCCACCAAAGGGAATTTCGAAACCTTTGGTCACCCAAGTATGCCTTCGTCATCCATGCATAACAGCGCCGCGAGGAATGTGGTTGTGTTTTGCCCGATTTGAACCAGCGATCTACTGTCTCAAGTGGGATATGTGTCCAAGCTATTCAGACTTTACTTGGCAGACCGGCCAAGACGATGTACCACCGCACCATCCAACCATGGCGGTGTTTATAGTGTCGCCCGCACTCTCCCAACCGAAGTCTTGGCACGCACAAAGCTCAATTTGTAAAAACTCGGCAAAATTCAAAGTTCCACGCCCGTCGAGACAGTATCCATCCTTCGCATCATCTTGTTAACTTGTCCTGAATTCTCTCACGTCCATCCTAAAGAGCTATCTCCTAGATTTATGCGCCACGCTTTGCTTCCTCCGTCGGGTGTAAATATCGGCGTGGACGGGTATTTGGTGATCGGCTGAGGCCAGAGAAAGTCGATGAGAGGTGTGATCATTGGAATGAGGATGTACTAGGTCGTACTTGTAGACTTGATAGGCTTAGGTATGAATCGGACTCTTTGGGAGTGAAAAGTTGATGTGTTCAAGTATTTTGAATCATTGCCTCGTGGGCCAACTTGTTCGGTATTGCGAAGTTTGACTGAACTTGGCTCTGGGAGAATATTTCACTCCCAGGTTCGTAGAGGACACCGCATACAGGTGTTCAGTCTTGCCCTCCGACCTCCTGACTAATAGTGCTGTCCTAATCAGCTTCATCTAACCCTCCCCATGCAGCCTTGTTGTAAACATTCTCAACAATAGTCTTAGGTATTCACCTAAGCGTAAACAACGGCCAAACTGTACCTGAGAAGAAGACGATACAGATGTTAAAAGCAGTTGGAAATCCTTATCGAAGTGAGGTTGGTCTTATTTAATTTCGTCTCTGCAGAGTCTACAGTTAGAGCTGTAGGTTTGTTAGGGGGACCACTGACAGGTGTTGAGATTAATCCCACCTGAGGTAGAACGTAAATATCTCTTGCTAGCAACTCTGATTATCGAGGTATAGAGCTCACTCGCCAACTGTTTCATCTGAGGTCCTCGATGAGATGATTGTCCTCTACACGCGTCTAATATTTGATACTGATACTTTATATCACGTATATATCCGGAAACCGACATACTCCAGAGTAGAATATCTCACCACGTTAGATGAGAATTTGATAGTCATTCTCATATCTGACTTGTACACGAGACTATTTAGTATCTACCTCATAGATGTTAACCTAACTCCAGAATTCCCATAGTCGCCATTGAGTCTTCTTTTCTTTCCCATCATTTAATCATAAATACCGCACAATGCATAATCCCAATGCCTCCTCTAATAACTTAGCTGTAAGTTGTAGGCCTTCTGGAATAGATTTTAAAATTTCATGGATTCAAGTTAATAAACATGACATAGGATGACAATTACTGAAACTGTAAGGCGCGATAAATTTTTAGCGAAGGCTTTAAAAGCCGCAAGAGCCGTAGATTCGGCTTTAGTTGTTCAGAAAAAAGATGGGCAACAAAAACAGGGCGGAATCTGGGCGAAGTTTTACAGGACGAGGAATTAAAATCTCAAAACTGTGATTAGTACATATTTCACTGATTTCTGTACGGTATTTAGATTTTTTTTAATATAATATAATCGGCCGAATTGAGTATGTCGGACGATTGTAATGAAAAAACCCTCTTGAACAAGATTTGATCGCCGAGTCTGCTACATAACTTTTAAATAAGGTGCTTTGATCTAGAAAAATTAGTTATCAATTACATTCAATGCCCTGTTCTTACCTGAAATACGCCCTCAAATAGAATATTTGCCATACGCCCAAAGCAACTAGCATTCCCATCGTCGAAAAAGCGAACCATTTTACCCTTGTGTTTGTGCTCTCATTAGTGTCTCTGAGCTTTTGTTCTCGTGTGCGTAAGTAGTCCATTTCGAAAACAATTTCGGCGACCATCTCCTCAATTCGTCGCAATTCTGTCTCTACTGGTTTAAGTTTTTCAGTTGTCTGAACCTCATTCCAATTCTTCGCGTCGGCACCAATTTCAATTTTTAGTTCGATGTGCCGGGTTGCAGGGTAATGAGCGGGTGCAGCTGTAGATGAATCAGTTCCATGGGATAGTGCGTAGCGATATTTTCACATACAGCCTGATAGCTCATTGATAAAGCAAACGTCAAAAGAAGCATCTGCATGAGAAGTAAAGACCATTTTTTTCTCGCCTACAACGTCTTTTGGCTTTCCATATTGATTGCCTACAGCATCCTTGATCTAGCAAAGTTGTCAGCGTGTTTTACTGGGAATTACGCTGTAAACATAGTTTCTTACATTCATATTGACAACCATTCCATCACCTTTTTTACCATCTACAGTTGCTGTAACCACTACCAGTGTATCCTTCGCTACAAAGTTGCGAATGCATCGTTGACCCCTGCCAGATCCCGCTGCGTAAGCCTCGAGGTCGAATTTTAGTGCGGAAGCGCAGATTATCAGCAATAGAAGGCAGTAAACTGTTTCCAGACGACAGCGTAGGGTTGTCATATTGTAATTGCGCTAGTGGTGAGATTTTGAAAACCTGGCCGACGAATCTACTGCCATGGACGATATACACGTGGCCAACAATCTCGGAAAGACAGAAAATATACATCACGTGCTTAAAATCGGCCGTGCGCTATTTTTGGCATCATTTGAATTGTAATGTGCCAAGCACTGTATACACATTTTCAGTGCTACGAATAAATATTGGGTGGAAGGTAAGACTGAACACTTGTACTGGGTGTTCTCTACGAACCTAAGAGTGAAAGATTCTCATACAGCCAAGTTCAGTCAAATTTCGCAACAACAAAATAGTTGGCCCATGAGGCAATGGTTCAAAATACTTCACGCCAAATTTTCACTCCTACATAAGCTTTATCAATTCTGCAAGTACGACCTAGTACATCCTTATTCCAATGATCACACCTCTCGTCGAATTTCTCAGGCCTCAACTGTCCACTAAATATATGCTCGCAACTATAAATTCACCCACTAGAGGACAAAATTGAGGCTCACAAGTTCAGGAGGCAGGTAGTTTAGATGGAAATGCGAGAGATCAGGACAAGTTGACAAGATGATGCAAAGAAAGGATGTAACCTCGAAGGGCGTGAAATTCAAAATCTTGACAAGGAGTTTTAGGAATTGGGCTTTGTGCGCGTCAAGACTTCGATTGCGACAGTGCAACTGACACTATAAAAACAAGCAAACCATCGAAGGTGTTGTGGTCCGCCTCCTGGTGGTGTTCTCTGGTATAGTTTGAGTAGCCTGGGCACCTACTCCACTTGGAAAGGAGACATCTCAGATTACATTTCGCGCGGAGAAAAGTTGATGGATGACGGAGGCATGTCTGGATAACTCAGGGTTTTTGAGACGTTCCCCTGGGTGGGTATTCACGGATGAGGGTTGAGTTGGGGTGAAGAAAAAGCCACCATAACTTTGCAGTGGTACTTGCAAATAAAATCCGAGGCGTGAATGCCTTTCTTGTATATTGAGTCATCTATTCTACACTTGTCTGACAATGTGTCATAGCTAGATAGCTGCATAAGCAATTCAAATCCGATATAATTAAAAACATGTTGAGTAACTCATTTAATATTAGACTCTAATAGTCTGTATTTTATTTTCAATCACCACTGTGAGAGCTATATCTCTTAACAGCCGTAGAAAGTAGGACTACGACTGAAAAACTTATAGTAGTGTCGTTCTCGAATCAAGGAATAAAATATCCTCCCTGAACCAAGTTCAGTCAGATTTCGTAGTACCAAGGAAGTTGATCCGTGAGTGAACGGTTAAGGTCTCTCCACCACACAAATATTCCAACCCCAACAAGATTTTTTCCCACTGAAGTATTGTCAAGTCTACAATTTCGATCACATACATCTTCATTTAAATGACCACAACCCTCGTTGATTCAGTCTCTTGTCTCAAATAGCCCTTATATATAAATGCCTACAACTCTATGAATACCAACTGCAGGAGGCCAATTGTGGTACAAAAATATGGGAAGTGTTGGAAGGTCTTACAATGTGATATCACAAGGGTCGACAAATAACAGGTTGGTTATTCAAATGTAAATGTATATCTATCTCTCTTCTACGTCTTCCATCGGGGGACTATTCTCAACACCTGTCAGCAGTGTCCCCTACGAACCTCCAGCTCTCGCTGTAGAGTCTGCAGAGCCGAGATTGAGTAACAAAGTCCTCACTTCGAAGAGGATTCCCAATCGCTTTCGCGGTCTGTATCGTCTTCATCTCTCTACACATTCCCCTATCACCATTATCATGAAGCTAACCACGATCAGATCAGATGGTAGGGTCGGAGCTCTACTCATCACCAAACCTTAATCACGGAGGAAAAGCCACCCGATGAGTTTCTGGAGCGTACCCAGCACCCGATACGGAGATGGTGGATTGGATCAAGTCGGCCTCGACTGTTACAAAGAAGGGAGATGTAGATGAATATGCGCACCTCATGTGGTCCCGGTGTCTAGGCCTCGCCTGGCTGGGGTTGCTGGTTTTTTGAGACTCTTTCCCGCGCACGCAGTTTCCATTGCTACCTTTTTTTTTTTTTTTTTTTTTTTTTTTTTTTTGGGTAGAAGGTTCGGTAGAAAAGGTGGCCGAATTCCACGGGTAAATACTGAGCTCAATGGCTATTCATCAAGGGGAATATATCAATGATCTTTCAAGTAACAAAAGAGGATAGGAGCACTGTACAAGGTGTGGCCTGGGTCAGAGAGGAGCCCAATGTGCTAGATAGTCATAGACTCAAGTAGCACAATAAACACAATCACACACACATACGTCTTCCATCATCTATAAAAGTTATACATGAGGAATCGTTCACATGAGAACACGTGGTAAAACGTGACGTTATGGCGAATACTCACTCCGTCGAGGTTTGACCAAGCTTATTAACCCACACCGGCAATCTTTTCTTTATGAACTAACATTGAATAGAAAGCCCCCGTCTGCCATATCTTACTGACTAATCTTACAATCTTATTACTGATCCTTCAATTCGAATCGTTAATTCGTTATTACCGATGAATCGTTCCAGAGCACGATTCGGTGACACTTTTGTCAACGCATCGGCGGGGTTATCTTCCCCATTGATCCATCAAATCTCCGCAACCTCCCTTCCATCATAAGACTGTCTAAGCGCCAGAATATCAATCATTAGGCGTTTCTCCTTGGTAGTACCTAACTTTACCAGGCACTTGTAAAACGAGTAAGAATCAGTGCATATAATTAGAGGCATTTCAGGAAGATTAAGACGTTTGGTTATGTAAAAGGTTGAAGGAATTCAGAAGTACTTGAAGTCGATAACGCAATGGAAATAAATAATTTTTCCTTAGGGAAAGCTTAACTACAGTATCGTATCCTGTCCTTTACGTCTTCCACGTACGCTAGTATTTATTCCCCCCTTTAGTCATATGAGAATCATCCTTTCTCCCTGGCTCTCTTCTCCTGTATCGTACCCCCCCATCTGATACGTATCCCCTTTAATACCTCCTTAGAGCCCCCTTTCGTCTATCCAGGAGCGTTGCTCTGCCACTACCTTACCTTGGAGACGGAGTGGTCCTAGTGACCAGTCCCAGTCCGGGCAAAGCCCGTCACAGGTTATCATCTTTAAAGAAGATACGATCGAAGACCAATGTCAAAGCCATTGACCGTTCCGTAGATTTTAGAGGCTAGCACACTGCGGGTGACTCGTTTACACTTCGTCGAACTCCAATGAATAAGTTTACCTCGAACTTTGGTCTTAGATCCGATTTGATCCTCATTAGCAAGTATCAATACAAAACCAAGTTGTGAACTGAGGTCCATATTATTAGCAAATGATCCATCCGTAAACACCATTATCTTAGCCGTTGTTACGGTTTGACCGTTGTCTGAGCTTATGTGGATACCTAAGCGTATTGTTGAAGATTCATGTTGTAAGACCGTAAGGAAAAGAAAGAGGAAACTGGAAGATACGGCACTACCAGCCAAGGGGCCAGATCAGTGTCACAGCGTAGTGATTCATGATAGTATATGGCTGGGTGGCAAGTATTCGGCCTAGGGTGAAGAAATCAGTCTAGACAATCACTGAGGGGCTGAATATTATAAATACCTGTTCAATGTCACAATCCGTGAGAGCCGTATTGCGTGCGTGTGGGGATACGGGTTAGCGCGCCTTGGCATCACGTTGGATGACTGAGCACAGCCGAGGGAGATATCTTAGAGAGGGTCGAGAGTAGCTACCTCCTCTCTTCGTCTTTCATTGCCTTTACAAGCGTACCTCTTGATAGCAATATAATAACTTATACAACCTCCTTGACGTGCCATAACATAATAAAAGACCATCACCTCGCTGGGAAGCAGTAATATCCACTCGGAACAAATTCGACGTCGGCACCACCTTTTTGGTACGACTCCTACGACTCCCGCCTTACCTGTATAATTACAGGTGCCTTCTGCCTCATATCTCGATTGCAGACAGTCTCAGAGCAAGCTGAACTCCCTCTCTCTATCGGCATCACCTTTTTGATACGATACCTCAAACTTTGCGGCTTTGCGACACGGATTCGCGCTTCAGCCTCGCCCTCAGCCTCGTGCGCGCATCCTCAACTACCAATCTCGACCTCTGCAAACCCCTCCCTACCTACGCGCGTTCGTCTCAATACTACACACACAATGAGCGGTCCCTCCCATATGCAACCGCGCCGAAGCAATTGAGAGCTCTCTACACCAGCCCGATTTGGATACCCCGCGGAGGAAAAGAAGAAGAAAGGCAATACCGCGCCAGTGGAGGAGAACATATTGAGTACTATTGAGAGTGATACAACCAAGGAGGAAGACGAACACACAAAGGTGGACCAAGCATTCTCTACCAGCCAGTTGGCGGCAATCAACGAGATGCTCAAGACTGCAGTTGTTTCTGCTCTCGCCGTCGAAGCTACCGAAGATGCTGCTAGAAAGTCTCGCGCACTTACTGCAGACCTACAACCGGCTATTGATCACTACCTCCCAAAGATTGACAATTCTGTCAAGCCTGTCGATTCTCACAAGATTCGCTATACCCGCCTCCTCTTTACCGACCACAATGGAGAGATTGAGTACAATGCTTGGAAGATGGACATGGAGCTCTTTATTGAGGAGTTCTCTGGTAACTTCTGTGCTGGAGACTCCCAGGTAAAGGCGTACTTCAAGTGTACTGGAGGAGAGGCCAAGACTATTATCCTTCAGCATATGGATACAGGTGTTACCACCGAATTTAAGGGTGCTGCCGACGTCCTCGCTGCCCTAGATCAACATTTCTTCGACCACAACTGTGTCCAAAAAGCCAAAGCTGCCTACAGCAACTTGAAGATGACTAGTAATATGACATACAATCAATTCCGCATCAAGTTCACCAACCTAGCCATCACTGGTAAAATCGCCAGGGCTCGTTGGTTTGATGACGTTTGTGAGAAAATCTCTCCTGCCTTAAAGCTCCAAATTATGACTGAGAAGTACAAGATGAGC